TTTGTGTGAGTGACTGTCTGACCTGGCAAGCTCCTGCACGAACATATTCCACAGAGACTCACTGTACCCGCTCTCTCAACACAGTCAAGGTCGGATTCTGTACCACACCACGTGTTGTTTCATCTAAATCCAAGTACAAGTCTAAAGTAATAGGTTATATGTTTATATTTTTCTTTATACATGTTCAGATATGTTTACAGGCAGCTGTGGCATCTCATTCCTTTGTATATCGCTATAATTTTGAGATTTACTTCCTTGTATATTAAACATTAACCACAGACAGGACGATAACCTTTTAAAATGCATTCATTTTCACCACTTACAAAAATTTTAATCTATGATTTAAACACTTTTCATGGGGTAAAAACATATTTTGATTAACTTGAAGCTACAGCATTAGTAGAACACACTGTAAAAAAGAACACGTTTTGTGGTTTGTGTCCTAAAAAAAACAATTTAAAAGAGCAGAATTCTGCAGAGTAAAGCACAGTATGGCAGTCTGAATCAAAACCAGGTGTGGAAAATTAGGTCAGCACTTCCAGTGGGAGACAAAATGTCTTTTGTACCATTTTTTGGCATGTAGTCACAGCTCATTATATACATGGAGGAGAAATAAGGACTACTGTTTTATCATTTTTGAGCAATATATAAACCCGCACAATAACCAAAACGTGGTTTTAATGGTGTACATAAAACCATCTTAATTTGTTATTCATAATTTATATTTGTGGGTATGTGTAGTTCTGATTAAATCTGATTATAATCTTAAAACACTGCTTTCATTATGTGTTTGGCTCTACTTTTGTCATATTTCTCATCAGCACTTTCTGTCAGCTGTGTAAGAAAGAAAACTTGCTAGTTCAACTTCAACGTACTCTGGCACTGTTTATACCACAGGGTTGGTTTATACACTGTTTCATTTACTTATCATTATTTACAGGCCTCCAAAATACTCTCCAGCCTTTGCTGAGGACTTTACAGAACTGTTGCCTCAGAGTTTGACTGTTTTGCCATTGCTGGAGATTTTCACATTCACATAGATAATGCAGAAAACAATATGACAAAAGAAATCAAAACTGTTTTTTGATCTGACTCAGCATGTACATGGTCCCACACACACACAATCGTGGACACACTCTAGATTTACTTATCAGTAAGGGTTTAAACATCTCATCGATTGTTATCAGACGACACACAGCTCTAACGTATTGACTCCCTGTGCCAATGCATTGATGAAGTAAACAGTTGGATGTGCCAAAACTTTCTTCAGTTAAAGCTACACTGCGTGATTTTTACCCCATCTAGTGGTGAAAAGGTATATGACCATCCAGGGAATATTAGTTTCTGTTCCTCTCAATTCCGATTTCGTTTTACCTCCTACGGTGGCCAATGTAGTCCAAGATTAACATGGCTTCCAGTTCGACCTCGTCCATGAGTGTTAACTCAAACGTAAACGCGAAAGCCGAAGCTTGAATTAACGGGTATGTCCCTCTTTGGCTAATGTACTTTCAAGATGGAGGCGACCGACATTAAAACCCCTTACCCATATGTATTTTTAATGGCATATTCTACACTCACGAGAATACTTTATTACTTCAACGAAGTAAATATACATTAATGAGCACATATATTTTTGAAAGAACTAAGTGGTTTTATTTTAGCTAAGAATAAACTAAAAGAGTTGCACAGTGTAGCTGACAAAACTGAAGTCATTGCGTTTGGGAACAAACATAAAAATCTCAAGGTGAATGCATACCTTGCTTGACTCTAGGGGTCTAACAACTAAAAATCAAGTCAGGAATCTTGCTGTGTAGTCAGACCTTAGTTTCCGTAGTCATGTGCAATAGTCCACCATGTAAGCAAAGTCAACAGTTATTGTTTGGTTTCATTTCTTCTCTCATTTCATTTCTTTATCTAATTGATGACTAGTCTATTCTTGGCCGATGGTTTATTTGTCTAATAAATTTTCACTGACAGCCCAAATTCAGCCTGTAGACGTCTGGGCTGTGTTTGGACGGCTATTAAACGTCTTTTAAATGCAGAATTACTTGTTGTGAGTAGTTAAGTCCACTTCAAAAGAACAACAATGGTGAACAAATTATAAATGATGTTAAAGGTGCAGCAGAGGCACCTGAACAGGTGAAAACATGTCTGGGTCAGTAGATGGAAAAAAAAAAAAGAGACTCATTTGGAAAGTGAAAGTATTTCATTAAGTAGCATTTGTAAATATTACTGTGCTCTGTATATTGCTGTATCCATTGATGTGCGTTATTCATTCAAGATAATTTGATAGCTTTTAAATGCACATGGCCAGTGAACTGTAAACGATAAAATCTTGATACGGACTCCAGTCTGTCGCTTGTGTTCATTTAGATTACTTTTGTTTTATTGACAGTTTAATTAGAAATTAAGGTTTTGCCTTACTTACTTTTTGTTTATTTCTTTTTCTTTTTACTGAAATGAAATCCTAAAACCTAACACTGAAATGCATGTTCCTTGATATTGTATCTCATCCTGAACATGCATGAGGAAGCTGTTCACATTATATGTATTTTAAGAATGCACTTATAGCCATACTTTCACTCAAGCTTCTAATTATGCAGCCATGCTTGTTTGCCCACAACTTTAACCCAGTGTTACTGAACCCAAGAAATGCCACATTTATTCTGTGATATAAACACACTCTTTTAAACTAATCCAAGTTGCTATTTATTTGGCGCGTGTGTGTTCGCTTCTATCGCTTCCTTTTGTGATTGCATGTTATAAACCCCCCATTGAGTTGAGCATACAATAGTTTTCTATCAGCTAATCTTGCTGCCGCATAAAAAAAATAAAAAAAAAACAACCGGAGGTTTGCTGACTTTCTTATCAGATGTTATCTTGATTTGGCATCTTAACATGTCTCTATGTGCAAAAAACAAACACAAGGACACCTGTGGACATATTCAAGGTAACTTGCTGAATAATTCACGGTTGAGTTGTTTCAAGGAAATATATAAAAACAAAACTGTCTGAAAACACAGTTAAGTAGTAAGGCCATGAATACAGTGAATATGGATGCTGTTTGGCACAACACACAGTGCATGCATAATCGTCCCTTTCTGATTTTATAAAATGTATGAAATGACATAGATAGCCAATGACATACATTTTAATTTCATTAACAGCAACAACAACTTGATGACTCTCAGTCCCCAAATGTTTCGCTCCATACTCTTCTCCTCACAGAAGGCTTTTTTTCTGTTTTTAATGACACGTATGTCTAGTTTTAATTCCAACTCCGTCCAAGTCCTGCAGTGGATTCCATTATAGTTACTGGAAAGTATTCATTTTATGCCAATTCATATTTATTTAGCTGTTTAGTGTTTAAAGAAGAACATCGACTGCTAACTCAACACCAGACCTAGCAACCATCAAATATTAGAGGAAAAAAAACATATTGGTGGTTACATCACCCCATATATTTTTCAGAGCACACAGTGCATGTCTTTCTTTTATATACATCGCAGTTTATAGCCAAAGGAAATGAGTCAATTTCTCCTATAATTGTGTGCATGTGTCTTGCATAAGTTCAAGTTCGTTTTATTTATATAGCACATTTTATAGCAGCTAATGACTGACCAAAGTGCTTTACAGAACCAAAAAAAGATTAAAAGACATTAACACCATGCATAGCAGCACATCATAGAACAGTACAGCAAAGTAAGTGTGAATAAGTACTCAGGAACTGTTAACTGAGAAAAAAAAATAGAGATGTTATGATAAAAGCAATTGAAAGTCTAGTAAAGTGTACATGAAAAAAGTATCCACATTTAACCACTCAGGAATTTGAAAGTAAACACTTTGCTTTTTACATTTCTGAAAACAAGAGAAAAAAGATTTCCTTGTAGTATTCTTGAAAACGTCGTAAAGAAACCTGTCAAAGGCGTTTTATCATTGTTCTGCTTTGGTGAACGAAAGCGAACAGAAAACCTGGCGGTCAAACCGGAATTTAGGGAAGTGAATATAACATAAATGTAACAATTGTGGTTTGTCACATGTGAACTATGAGAAAGGAGCAGCCTCAGCACCAGGAGGGATGTGGAGGTTAGTAATCTGGGCTGAGTGACTGTGGGAGAACTGTTCACTGGGGAGACCACACTGTAATTGCAGCCGACGTGCAAAAAACACTGCACACAAAACACGAGTACAAATCAGCATGAAGTTTTAACATCTACTCTTGTGTAATGGAAATCATAATACTTCAAAAGACTTGGAATACATGACTTGTTTATTATTTTATAATTATTTTTTTACGACAACAACGACTTGTTTATTATTTTATAATTAATATTTTTATAATGCTTTCATGCTGAAATGATTCATGCAATAGGTATAATGCTTTGTTTGTCATTTTTGAAACTTTAAACAGTGCTGCCAGTGCCAACTAGGTTAGCTTGAAGGGAGAATTAAGTGGGTGTTTGTGTGGGGGTGAAAAAAACAAACATTGCATAATGTGTGGTGTCGCGAAAACATGTGAAAAGAGTAAATTGTGAGCTAGTGCATGAGAGTTGGCAGCCATACTTGAAAGCAGTCAATCATCCAAATTTTATGATGGACAGGAAAAACATGAACATACTAAAAACTTCTGCTTTTTTGGTCACAGAAGAAAGTCAGGCAGGCTGGAATGACAATGGTGGTTGGAAAAGAGACAAACATTTCAACAACACGCCACACCTTGTGTTTCTCCAAGGGATAACTTCTATTCAATTAAACTTTAAACTTTTGATTAAACTTAAGAGCCCTGCTCATACACATCAAGATAAATGTCCTTGTTATGCAACAATTGAGCAATAGTGTCATTTACAGTCACTGCACATTTTCTTGTTCTTTTTTTTTTTTTTACAAAGCAAATAGTCTGTTGGCATATGCAGTAACTTAAGGACAAAAACGAGAAGGACTGTATTGAGCAGACACATACAACACACACAAAACATTCACGATCAATGGCCTTGATGGCCTCTGCAGGAGAGAGAGAGAGACCTTCAGTCAAGGCTGAACTGATAACCTAAATTCACTAAGATGAACAGTGAAAGCACAAACTACGAGGAATAAAGATCAGTTATAGTCCTACATGAATGGGGGAATCAACAAAAGACAGAGGAAAGCGGCACATTTAGAAAAGAGGAACGTTTAATCGGAGCATTTTTTTCATCACGGTGAACTTTAAGTGGTGCACACTTTGAACAGAAGTAAGATATCCTTTTAGTTTTGCTATTTTTTAATCCATGCGGTTTTTAGTACTAATTAATCGACTGATGTTGTCGTATGCAAAGTATTTGACGTCCCTGAATTGACTGCGTGTTATTGTATTTATATGATCAGCACCGCTGAGATGTATGTTCATGTAACTTAGTCATGTCCACATCTAAATATCTTCACTTTATTTTTGCACTCAACGTCTCAAAAGCCTACACTTTTATTACGTTTATTCACTCTTAATAGACCGAATGCAAAATATTTAGTCTAATCGGAAGCAGAGTCAAGATATGGATCATGCAAATCTCCAATACAAATCTATTTCAGTTTTATTTCACGAAGTTTCAGAAATGAATACATGAACCAAGAGCACGCGCTGAGGGATAACAGCTGAAGTAAGCCGCTTTTGGGTTCATAACAGACTCATTGTTGGACTTGGACTGTTGTTAACCGCATTCCATCTGATGAAGATGATGGCAATCATAAACCTTATGAAAGGGTCTGTAAAGAAGATCCACAGCCTATCGTGCGCATATCGATGTCTGCCAGCTGAAGGCGGTGAGTTTATAATGTGACAGTGACACTCTTCTAGCGATGAAGTCATGACCCTTCTGGGAATGTGGTTTTGTAACCATATTTAAAGTGTGTGGTTCATTATTGCTGCGATACTTCTACCTGTCATCATTATCATATGTTAATTGGATACAGACACAGTATTCGACGTGGCATATTTAAGAAGTAAAGTTTGATAAAGAGAATGTTTGGCAACTTTGCCAAGATTAATTGTTGGCTTGACACCCATGTGTGTGTAGAAAAGTGTTAATTTGAATGTTATAGTGGGCTCACAGACAGGTGGTTGATGGATGGATGGATGGATGGATGGATGGATGGTTGGATGGATGGATAGATAGATAGATAGATAGATAGATAGATAGATAGATAGATAGATAGATAGATAGATAGATAGATAGATAGATAGATATAGTTTGAATGTTATATTGGCCTCACAGAAAGGATAGATATAGTTTGAATGTTATATTGGCCTCACAGATAGATAGATAGATAGATAGATAGATAGATAGATAGATAGATAGATAGATAGATAGATAGATATAGTTGGAATGTTATATTGGCCTCAGAAAGAAATAAAGATAGATAGATAGATAGATAGATAGATAGATAGATAGATAGATAGATAGATAGATAGATAGATAGATAGAGTTTGAATGTTATATTGGTCTCACAGAAAGGTGGATGGATGGTTGGATGGATAGATAGATAGATAGATAGATATAGTTTGAATGTTATATTGGCCTCACAGAAAGGATAGATAGATAGATAGATAGATAGATAGATAGATAGATAGATAGATAGATAGATAGATAGATAGATAGATAGATATAGTTTGAATGTTATATTGGCCTCACAGAAAGGATAGATAGATAGATAGATAGATAGATAGATAGATAGATAGATAGATAGATAGATAGATAGATAGATAGATAGAGTTTGAATGTTATATTGGCCTCACAGAAAGGATAGATAGATACAGTTTGAATGTTATATTGGCCTCACAGAAAGATAGATAGATAGATAGATAGATAGATAGATAGATAGATAGATAGATAGATAGATAGATAGATAAATAGATATAGTTTGAATGTTATATTGGCCTCACAGAAAGGATAGATAGATAGATAGATAGATAGATAGATAGATAGATAGATAGATAGATAGATAGATAGATATAGTTTGAATGTTATATTGGCCTCACAGAAAGATAGATAGATAGATAGATAGATAGATAGATAGATGGATAGATAGATAGATAGATAGACAGATAGATAGATAGATAGATAGATAGATAGATAGATAGATAGATAGATAGATAGATAGATAGAGTTTGAATGTTATGAATTGGTCTCACAGAAAGGTGGATGGATGTGTAGATTTAAAATCCTTGCTTCCCCTTGTTATTTAGTTTCATGAAAAAGACACCATTCATTCTGCCAATATATCGTATTTATTTTACCAATTTATATAAGACATAAGGGAGAGAGAGAGTGCTAATGAACCAGCATCTTCGTTCCTGCCGGTCAGTCCTTCTCTCTCTGCCTTAAACAAAGAGGATACAGTTCATATCTACTGACAAAAAAAACCTTAGAAACACGTGGCTCCCATTAACGTAGGAATATATATTCTATGCTCTGTGGAAAAACACTGCATATAAATCCAACTCTCCCAAAGTCTCCCACATACAGTATGTATTCAGAAAAGTATGATTCATAAAACACAATGATTACAAAATTATGAATGTATATGAAACGATTATGAATAGTAATAAAAACAAAAATAATAATACTAAAAACAACGTTAAATGATGAGATTGCGAGTCTTCAGATAGATAGATAGATAGATGTCCATGTCGCAAAATGTCATATTATTTAAGTCACGTGTTTCTGTCATCTGTCAGGTGTCCGTGTGTTTTCCTCTGTGTCCACTCCAAGAGTGTGTGTTGTAGGCGGAGGTCCTGCTGGATTTTACACAGCACAACAGCTCTTGAAGGTTTGTTATCAGTTCTCAGATTAAACGGCTGTCTGACCAGGAAAGAGTTATTCTTACAGTAGAAGCTTTGCTTATTTTAGGTTGACTAAATTTACTGAACAGCTAATATATTTCCCCCACAAGATTTCCTTTAATAAGCCCTGTGGTTTTGTGTGACTGTGAGCTTCAAGTTTGAAATCTTATTATTGGACGGCATCCAGCAGGGTGTAATATTTTACAGCAGCTCTCTTGAGGTTTACCTTTACACCACATTGACAGGTCTTATCTCGGTTTTCCACTGATATACAAAAACAATGCTGTTTTAAGATAAATGCAGAACACACTGTTCATGCACTTGGATGAAGACTAACAATCCAACCACAGAAAGAATAATATAAAAAGAGGAATTACAGGTTGGATCACAAGTGCTTTGGAGAAATAAAGAGCCTTCAGAGGCTTTTAAATGCTGATGTTTAGTTCTGTGTTCTTGTTTATCACGAACCACAATTGCGTTTGTTTATGTCTCTTTCAGGCTCGACAAGATGCAGTCGTAGACATTTATGAGCGGCTGCCGGTGCCGTTTGGTCTTGTGCGGTTTGGGGTCGCGCCTGATCACCCTGAGGTCAAGGTCAGGCCTTTCTTTATAAAAATCTAGTACAAGTAGTTCTTATTTTTCAAACCACCCCTTTCAGTGCCTGTCATAACAGAGATGATTTTATTAACCCTTGTGCATCCTTATGGACATTTTTGTCCTTTTCAGTTTTGTTTTTTTGATCACTTTGCCTGTGTTAAAGCTAACTGCAAAAACTTGGCACAGGTGTGTATTTTTATTGGAATTTTACTATTTCACCGTCATTTTCTTAAAAAAAATATTTTTGGCATTTGGTATAAAAAAATTCTCCCTCTCAGCGCCTTTTGGACAAAAATGTCCCCATTGAAACCCATTAAAACTGCCATTTTTAATCCCCGGTTCAGTTAACTATAAAATTATGCAATCTTTGTTAAGAGGCTTTCATTCTGATGGCAAGGCTTAAAAATGTTATTTTTTACTATTTTTTTATCAGATGGTGCCATTTTTTTTGAGTTTGGCCTATAAAACAAATATCACTTTATTCCTGTTTTCTGGTTCGGCATATTATAGAGCCAACTGGATAAATTATGCAACAATATTTGTGTGGGTGTGTTGGTATGAGTGTGGTTAGTATGTGTGTTATAAAAAAATATGTGTGTGTGTGCATGTGTGTGTTTGTAATACTGAGAGAGAAAAACTACAAATTCCAATCCAATCACTGTGAGCTCCAGTGGGGTTTTGCTGGCACCCAATGGGGAAAATATGTTACTACACCCAAACAAACTGTTACCCAAAACTCATTTTTTGAGATATCATCCTCAAATTTGGAACACAACGTATTTAGATTTATGGCTTTGATTTTATTGCAGTTTTGAGTTCAACCTGATTTATAAAACATATTTTATATAAAATATGTTTTATAAATAATTTTCATAAACTTATACCTAAATAACTTTTTTTTGGATTTACTTATTATTATTATTTTACTTCAGGAATACCAAACTTAAGTCTGTGCTCCAAAGCGTCACATTTTTATGACAGTTTTTAGACATGGACATTTTTACTTTTTTTAATTGATGCACAAGGGTTAATCAAGTTCCCCCAAAACAAGCCATTCTGCATTTTTTTTCCTACATAAATATCCTGTTTTACTAACTAACATTTCAGATTATGGAAGTAAAATGGGTTTGCAAATAATGCTAAGCTTACAAATTCTACGTGATGTTGTTTGTGTTATGATAATAAAAGCACCATTGTGATTTTTTCCCCCCCACCATTATCCTCATTAATTTTAGAAAACGAAAAAAAAAAGTAGAAATACACATTAAACATCGCCATTTATGCAAACATACATGCATACTTTATGTATAAATGTTTTATACACTATTAATCATAAGGGTTTTAAGCCAGGTTACTCAGAAATAGGCAGCTTAAATCATTTTCCATTAACAATACATTAACATTTTCTCAGCACAGCTGGTTAAAGTATTGTGGACATTTGTTTTAACAAAACTGTCAAAAGTCTGTTATTGTTATTGTTTCATGATCCTTTTTGTCTTGTGACACGTGGTTATGAAAGTTAATCTCTGATCATTCATATCCATCTCAGTCATTTTAAAACTCTGATGTAACTTTGGCTGCAATGTCATGGCAATTGTCACGTCTTATAGCTTGCATGTGGTTAATTATATTGCTTTTTATTACTATACATTGTTATATGGTGCATGTTTATTACAAATGCTGTTTGGTGTTCACTTAAGTTTGATTCGATGTTATAAAACTTTATCACCTTTATGTGTAAGGTAATATATACCTCTCATTATTATGATAAGATCTGTTTGACTAATGGCAGGGCTTGAAAAAAAATAGTTAAAAAAAATGAAAATGACTTTGCCTTTGAAAAATAATTAGGTAAAATGAAAGCATGGACAGACTTCCTCTATTTGCATAGCATAGGAGTGTGTATACAGTAACTACAGTCACGACCAGTAACAGACATCAAAGTATTCATGTCATCTGTCTGGAATGTTTGTTTGTGTTATGAAGTATATTGTGACAATGTTGCTACGGGTATCTGTCTTTTAGCCTGCAAACGTGACTTCCATGAAAAGTGAGAGTTTCAGACAGCAGACCTGTTGTCTTTCTATCATTACCCAAACAAGTTCTTCTGCTGCTGGTTAAATCATTGCCTCAAGCCGAAGAATGTTTGTGTATTAGCTTTATTTTTCATGATTAGCTTAATTTTTCACTGCTATAAATGCATACTACTAAATTAATGCAGGTTTTATTTGTTCCAGAATGTCATTAACACTTTCACCCAGACGGCCCAGCATGAACGATGCAGTTTCTATGGTAATGTGAATGTGGGCCAAGATGTGACGATTGAGGAGTTAAGGCGAGCGTATCACGCCGTAGTGCTGGTGAGGAAGCCACTCGCAACTCCATAACACTAGGGTCAATGCGGGTCAACTCAGCTGTTTTGATTTTGAACTCATTTTGTAAAAGTCTCTGGTAATTAGTGCAGCAAGTAGATCCAGAAGGGCTTTTTTCTCTAATTGTGTAGATTAGAATGTAGGCGGTTGTTTTCTCTTCCCTGGATTGTAAGCTTTCTGTGGGAAGCTGGTCGGAGAAAAGAATTCGGCTTTTTTTGTTGTTGTTGTTGTAATCAAGCATTTGAGCACTGTGCTGATTTGCTGAAGTAAAAATTAGGTGATAAAAGGAGGTAAAATATAAAAATATAAATGCAAATGGAGTGTTTAAAAAATATAAAAGCGTGGAGCAGAAAGCAAGAGCATTTAAAATAAAGATACCAAAAGAAATGTTTGTTAAAAACCAAAATTTAAAATGATATATTTAATACTTAAGGTTCAGGCATGCAAACTTGGATTAAAAAAACACAAGAAGTGCTTTTTCCCATTTTTGAACTGTTAGATTGCTAAAGTCGTCAGATTTAACTAATAGACCTACTAATCTCTGTGTAAAAATAAAATAATGATGCTGACATCTTTTTAAAGTCATTTTTACCCTATGTAATTTGCCTCCAAATCTATATCTACAAAATAGTGAATTACTCAGTAAATATACATTCATGACATTTAATATTAACAAAATCAAACGTTTGAGCCAGGGAAGTTTCGGAAATTTGGTTTATTTGACATGGATTGATCCAGTTGTGAATTCTGGGTACACAATTAACACCCAACAATTGACTCTTGAATACTATTGGATGGTAATGTTTTTAAGCTTTTGCGGTGTTGAAAAATCTTGACCTTATTTGGCGTTCAAGGTCAAAAATGACTTTAAATTGCTTGTAAATCTCTCATTATGCTACATTATCACCGAATATTGGATTACATTTTTTTATCAACCTGTTTTCTTTCAATTAGTTCTGGTTGTGTATTTCTTTTTGAAACTAATTGTTTGTTGGCCTGAGAAAAGTTATAAGCTCAGATCAGTTAGGCCTCAAAGAAATGCAAAACCAGTGCTAACTGAAAGAAAACTATTTGGCAAAGGATTGAATCCAATATTTGGATTTAACACAGCATAACAGGAGATTTATGATCAATTTCTTGTAGTCAATGTGTGGAAACAACACAAGTGTAACAAAACACCACAAATATGTCAGTAAGTAAACTAGCATTTTTTGGGAAACAAAATTGTCTCTGGATCAGAATAGCTTGTGACACTGATGAACACAATCTAATATAAAAATGATCTGTTTTCCCAGAGTTACGGAGCCGAGGGAAACCGATCCATGAAAATCCCCGGGGAACATTTGTCCGGTGTTTTTTCGGCTAAAGACTTTGTCGGATGGTACAACGGACTTCCCAGCAATAAGGAGGTGCAATTTGATTAAACTGATTGTAACTTGTGTTTTGTGTTTGGAGTTTATAGCCCACAAACTGCTCTGTAAGTAACTTTCCGTCTGCTTCTTTGCAGCTGTGTCCTGATCTCAGCTCGGAGACGGCTGTGATTGTGGGACAGGGAAATGTGGCTCTGGATGTTGCCCGAATACTTCTCTCCCCTGTGGAAATGCTAAAGGTCATTTTATTCTTCGTTCTGTTTCCAGTCAGTCAAATGACTGGCCTACACAAAATATATTACAAGTCTCTCGGTGTTTAATGTTCTAACTGAATCACAAGTTATTACTTTCGACACATTTATCTCTGAAATGATCCGATTATCATCAGGGTTTTACTTCCTTAAGACTTAGCTCACATTTATTTAGTTCAAAAATATGCTTTCAGGGAAAAGATTTGTATTAATAGATCAGCTTTAAACATCCGTGCTCAACAGAGCTGATAAGTCATTTTGATTTATAAAAGTACATTTTTAAACCACGCTTTCCTCTTTTGATTATATAATGTGGCTATAATTTCTGTCAGAGAGGATTCACTTACAGGAAACAGATATTTACCAGAATTACACTGTATTTACTTGCATCTGAGAGATATCCATCTTATTTTGAGTGTAATAGTGGGCGAAGACATTTATAGATTACAAGATTACATTAGAGCATCAATCGACAGTGCAATTTCATGAAGTGCAAGAGATCAACAATAGCACATTTATTAACAGAGCGATGTAACAAACAAGGAATTAGGCATACGAGGCGAAGAATCACTAGTGACCTGGAAGAAAATGAGTTTAATTGACTAATGAATAATTAAAGAGGTCAATTTTGATTTCATGATGACTTTTTTGTGCACTTTATAGACCATTTAAATAAAAATGGATCTGTACAGATTTTCAAAATATTCTTAATGTTTTTGTTGTTAAAAAAAAATGCAGTTGAAAATTATGGCCAAGCAAGTCAGTCAAGTTGAAAGCCAAATAAGTAAGCTCTCAAATGCTTTTTATTTCATGTTTTTATCTGCTATAGAGCCTTTTAGTAGGCTTTGACAAATTTTGACACATATTTCTGGAAACCCTTAAGTTTTGGGAGGGGGTTTACAAAAAAGTACTTAGGCATAAAAAGGCCTTTTTTAGCAGGTGTTTTAGGCCTAAATGGGTTAAATATTATGTTTTTTTGTATTTCATGCAGTTAAAAGGACCAACAGCCTCATACATGCTGCAAAGTTGATAAAATATCTACATTATAAGTGTGGCATTCACTCTCAAAATTGCAATGATTGACAGAGTAAGCAACCATCGCAATGGTCGGACATAAAAAATAATATGTCAAAATTAGGGCTGTGCAAAAATTAATTGCGATTAATCGCATCCAAAATAAAAGTCTGTGTTTACATAATATGTTTGTGTGTGCTGTATATAATTATTTTGTATATATAAATACACACACATGCATGTATATATTTAAGAAAATATGTTATTCATATATAAAATATTTATATATGTATTTATATATATATATATATATATACAGAATTTAAGCGCAAATAATTCTTAAATATATACATGCACGCATAGGTATTTATATATGTACAAAATAATTATATACAGCACACACAAATATATTATGTAAACACAGACTTTTATTTTGGATGCGATTAATAGCAATTAATTTTTGCACAGCCCTATTCAAAATAAATGAGCATTAAACAGTATAAATGCAGACTAGAGTAATCAAATTATTGCATTCAGAAAAGCTGAGAAAAGTGAATTTTTTTTATTTTAAACCACACTTTACTCTTTTATTTACCTAATGTGTGTGTAGTAATGTGGATCCAACTGCTATCCTCTCTGGCTTTCTCTTACAGGAGACAGATATTACCCAGAATTCATTGGCAGTGTTGGCGGGCAGTAATGTGCGAAGGGTTTTGATCGTCGGCCGGCGAGGGCCTCTTCAAATCGCGTGCACCATCAAGGTACGACTCCTCCTGTTTTACACCTCAGAGGGAATGAATTCATTCAGATGTGGAAGATAAAGCAGAGGAACCTGCTCTTCAAATTTTAAATGAATGGGGGAAAAAAACGCCTTTCATAATGGATAAACAATCATGAATACATATTTGTATTGTTTATTGACTTTGTAAATGAAAGGTTTCGGAATGAGTGTGTAAGTCCGCAAGGAATAAGACTGTTTATGTTGTCTTCAGGAAGTCAGAGAGATGGTGAATCTGCCGAACACTAGAGCTGACATGTTGCCCAATGACTTTGATGGCATCGCAGAAGCTTTGAAAGGTAAAAGGGTCAATTGATTTGCCATCATTTACTCATCATCTTGTCAATCCAAACCTGCATGACTTTCCTTCTTCCGTGAAACCCAAAAGAGGATGTAATACATGAGGATCAAAAACTCCACAAATTTAAACATAAAACTCCCATAATATTATAGTTAATAATGTCATTTAATAAGGCACATTGGCTGCATTTATGGTAGTTTTTGTTGTTTGGAAACATTTTAGTGTGAAACACTTCCGAACTTTTCAGACAGAGTCTTTAAGGTGAGACACTGCAGGTGAATAGGATACAATTTTTAACTTACAGATGTCACCATGAAACTTTACCAGTTGGTTACTCGCATAAATAGGAGAAAAAAAATGTATTGCAAGTTTTCTGTAATTTTATGTTTAAATATGCTAATCAGGCTATATCTAATTAAATATGCGCTAATTTGCATATATTTTGAAGTGACGAATCTGACCATTGAAAAAAAACAAGGTTCAAAATTATGTTTGCATTTTGTTGATATATTCAATGAAAAGACATTATGAATATCTCCTTTTGTTACCCTGTGAATCAGAAAATACTGCCAATAGCCTTAAAAAATAGATTTCCGCCCTATTTTTAGGCATAAAATGTCATATAAAAATCAGGCCAAGAATGATGCATCGACAAATACCTCTGAACAAAATAGCAACCTTCACAAAATAGTTAGGACTACGGCTGTAAAGTTTGCTGTGTGAAGATGTGTGAGAAAAAACTCATTTTGAGAAAACAGCCTTTGAAGATTTTATGGGATTGCGCATTTCTAGTTAAATGTCCCATTTTGCTTTAATGATTGGTTGCTGCTGACAGAGGCGTAGCAAGCTTTTGAAAAGTGTGGGGGATGGATGTGTCATTTAAATTTGGGCATGTTACGTAGACCCCTGTCCCTCTAGGGGGGTTGGGGGGCATGCTCCCCCGCAAGAAAATTTGGTACATTTTAAGGTTAAATGCATCAATCTGGAGCACATTGAGAGCTCAAAATTAAGAGCTTCAACTAGATTCGACCCAGGCCTGTGCACATTGAACAACGAAAAAGCATTGACTTGTAGCTTACCTAAAGAGGGCTCAAACATCTTTATAGTTATGATATAGAGTCTGTCATTATATTCTATATTACGCTATCAAAATTACAATACTTTTGTCCTAATTTCTTCACTTGTAAGAAATAAATCCTTGAGCTTTTATTTAGGAGAAAACACAGAACACCATGCTGATCGTGTGAGCAAAGAGCGCGGTTTTTTTTTTTTTTTTTTTTTTTAAATTACGCAGCATTACAAACAGAATGCCTAACGCAAGTCTTGTACTGTTTATCCAAAAATACGAAATATAATAATGAAAACACTGGACATGTCAATAAAACATAAACATAACATCTTCCCAAACACATATCAAGCTTATTTAAAAACCTCGAAAGCATAAACACTCATTCAAAGTACCTGGAAAAGGGAGATGTAAACAACCATAAGTTCCCGCCTCCTCAGCACGAGCTGACCGATACATCTAACACATCAAGAGAGGCGGGACTTAAGGCAGAACAGCCAATCATCAGCCGGACACACTCAAAGCTGGTGTCATGTTTGAGAGGAGACAACCGCAGCGAGCGCACACCGCGCACACACACACTGAGCGCCAGAGAAACGGAGGAGCGACTGTAGGAAGGCGTTTGTGTGTTTGTTTGTTAAAACTGCGGAAAAACGGCAGAAAAAGTGCGGGTGTTGAACACTTTCACCGGGAAAAGTGTGGGTGTTAAAACACCCACATCCCCCACGGTTGCGACGCCCCTGGCTGCTGATAAACAGAAAATGACCATAATTGGATCCGACAGTATTGAAGAGGAGAGAGAGCGAGCTTTCTAACGTGTGTTTACGTGTACTTTACGTGTACTTTTTAAATGTGTATTTTGGACTTTTTTCAGCACAAGTCTGAAAGACAACATGTTATGTCTCGCCTTAATATATTTTGAAGTGAATTTGGCAGTTAACTTAAATACTGTGGCTAATCATTCCTAGCCTTCCTGCCTTCCATTAAAGCTTTGGCTCTGTCCTTTCAGAAACCACACACAACTAAACACAAACACATTTCACTGCTGGTAAGTCCTGCTGTGTTTTGCTGCTTGCGGACTTTTTGTTTGGAGCCGGCAGAGACAGGAAACAGGAGTGTGTTTAGCTAAAGAAGAGCAAGTATTAAATTATGTCCTCCGAACATGAATATGATATGATGCTGTCCTTGCAATAGTTGTTGGGTCACAGATAAGAATAACTTTACAAAGAAGGTATATTTTAAATGGAAGTTGAATGAAAGACTATATATATATTTTTTAATCTTTTTATTAAAGAAACGAATAGTCTATTCAGAAAGGATGCATTCATTTGATGAAAAGTGGCAGTAAAGACATATATATATATGAAGAGCTCAGATGCAAAAGCCTCTAAATGCCATTTGAAATTTTCTTCTTTAATGATGATTTTTATCAAACGTGTATATTTAAGTTCAGTAATTTCACTTAAATAACAATTAATAGGTAATTATCATTGCCATTTAAGTGAAATCACTGAACTTAAATATACAAGTTTGATAAAAATCATCATTAAAGAAGAAAATTTCAAAAATGGCATTTAGAGGCTTTTGCATCTGAACTCTTCATATATAATGTTTTTAAACAATTTACTTTCTTTTAATTAAAAAAATAATCGCGATTTCCTCAAAAATATGAAGCATCACAATTGTTTTCAACATTGATATTAATCAGAAATGTTTCTTGAGCGGCAAATCATCATATTTTAATGATTTCTGACGGATCATGTGACACTGAAGACTGGAGTAATGATGCTTTGATCACAGGAATAAATGACACTTTATTAAAATCAAAAAACAGTCATTTTAAAATTGTACTACATTTTTGATCAAATAAATGCAGCCTGGATGAGCAGAAGAGACCGACATCAAACTTTTGAACAGTAGTGTATCTAACTTGATGCATTTGTGAAAACATAAACGTATATAAAAAAGTTATTTTTTAATATTTAGATTTTACTTCAAACTGTTTTTATTGTTTGATTACAGTGTTCCTTTCAAAAACACCAGACACCTGTACTGATTTGCTCTATGAAAAATAACTTTAGGTTCACGTGTTTGTAAACCTGATATTCTGGGGGAAGTACATGATTTAATCTTCATTCCTTCTGGGACTTCAGGGACTTTTACTTCTCTTTGCACTCCTCTAGTAGTCTAAATAAACATATCCAGATCTCATCATCTGAGAACGGGGCAGTAGGACACACACAGAAGTAAGCTGTAGACGTGCGTGCGTCCTTTCTTGGTTGAGATTTAGTGATCTAGGGCATAAAATGATAAATGGACTGCATTTAGAAAGCGCTTTCACAGACACCATGGCCATCAAAGCGCTTCACATATTGCCTCACATTCACTCACTCATTCATACACCGACGGCGTCATACAAGGCCATCCAGCTGGTCGAGAGCAGCTGGGGTTTGGTGCACATGTTGGTGCAATTATGAGGACTCTCCATAGGCTATAGACTATATATTCTATCCCCCTACTTTAACCCTATCCCTAAACCTACCCATCACAGGAGACATGCTGCTTTTTATATTTTTTAATGAAACATTGTTTTTTATGTTTTTTTTAAGCCATTTGATTTATGAGGACTTTTAAAATATCCTCATAAACCAGCCATAAGTTGTAATACCAGTGTTATACACGTCATTCTACAAAATCGTGTCCTCATGGTCTCGTGTGTCTGTGTATGAATAATCCTGGTATACTTCTTAGTCTCCACAACAAGGATAGTAACACCAGACATTTTGTGTGGACATTTTTTGGTATCCATGAGCAAAACCGCTTATAAATCATACAAAAATGATTATTTTTTGTGTCTTTAATGGATAGGTTTAGGGGTTGGGTTAGGTTTAGGAGATAGAATATACAGTTTGTACAGTATAAATATCATTATGTCTATAGAAAATCTCTGTAAGACATGGAAACTCAACCTGTGTGTGTGTGTTCATTAGACCTTCCTAGACCGAGAAAAAGACTGACGGAGTTAATGATGAAGGCTGTAAAGGAAGGAGGAGACGATAAAGTTAAGAAGTGCTGGGGTTTCCGCTTCTTTCGAAGTCCGGTGGAGATTCTCGCCGGGGCTGATGGGAAAAGAGCTACAGGAATCCGATTGGCTCTTAATAAGCTTGAGGTAAACGTGCAAGACCAAATAACAACCATAATATGTGTGCTTTGTCTGTCAACATACGTTAAGCATAGATGTTGAGAAGTCAAGAAATCTAAATTGACCGATTGGACTTCCCTAATACATGCTTGTTGTCTTAATGTGAGAAATTCATCAACGTTATTTATTTTCAGTGTCTCAGAGTTCACTATCTAATCTTCTTATCCACAGTTAAATCAGCTTGATGGGACTGTATTGTTTATAATGGATCACTCCCCTGACCTGAATGCAGATTATAAACAAAACTCTAGTTATTAGTTATTCTATTGGTCTGTTTTATATCATAATATTTCTAAACAGTGAAAATGAAAGGAATTCGCTCTCCATCGCATGTCATTTAGTAATTTAAACCAAAATGTTTTTTGAGTTCTTCACGGTTTATGAAGAGATAAGTGCACATGGCGCAACTCAGGTATTTTTTTACTCCACCTCAAACCTGGAAAGTCCTGATGTGCTTGAGCGAGGAGAATGATGATTTTTACTCTGCCAATAAATGCTTTGTCGTACGTCATAATGCTTTCTGCTCTGTTACATACTAGGAATTTATGCAATTGGAGTATGTTTTTCTAAGTTAACTGCACAGACACAGTTCATTGGATTTCAATGTGAAGTTTACTTATTCATGCAATGAAACTGAAATTGGCTGATTAATCTTCGTCGTAATAGTTTTCATCATTTTCACAATATGCACTACCATTCAAAATTTTGGGGGTAGTGTTTTTTTTTTAAGAATTTTATACTTTTTAAGACCTTTATGAAGTTACACAATATTTATATTTTAAATAAATGATGTTAATCAAACTTTGTTGATCAAATAATCCTGAAAAAAAACACACTTTCCACACAATCATATTCTACTAATAATAGCCTACTAATCAGAAATGTTTCTTGAGCAGCAAATAATAATATTATACTGATTTCTGAAGGATCATGTGACACTGAAGACTGCATGACTGTATTGATGCACCGCTTTGATCACAGGAATGCATTACACTTTAAAATATGTTCACATAGAAAACAGTACTTTTTTTTCTAAATTGTAATAATATTTCACAATATTGTTGTTTTTATTGTATTTCTGATCCAATAAACAGCCTTAGTGAGCAAACGAGATTTATTTAAAAAAACATTAAATTAAAAAAAAGACCCAAAACTTCTGAATGTATTTGCTAAAGTTAGAAAAAAAAAATCGAATTAATTACATAATGTGCCGATTAATTTATTTAATTAATCACAGGTTTGGCTGAGAAATTAACCAAAGGATAATTTAAAGAAATCATGTTAAACAGACATTACAAAACATTACAAATAAAATGTAGTCTGTTCAAAACACTTACAAAAGTTCAACATTGAATTCAACATTCAATTTATTACACATGAACTGTTAGGCTACAAGGTGTCTAACATTTTTTTATTATTTTTTATTAAACATAAGAAGTTTAAGCATTGTAACAAGAAAAAAAAATGACATGCTCTGAATATTTTCTGATCCATTCAGAGTGTTTTGTAAACTAGTGCCACCAGTTCTTTGAAATGAACCAACTCTAAACAATGGTTTTCTGTCATCACATACTTAAGAATGACAGAACATAAAGGGGAAGCGGAAATGGTGTTTTGATTACTTTTAAACAAATATAAAGCATTTTTTCCACTTACTTTCTTCTGTGAAACCTTATACATAATGATAAAGAACATGGAATTATGCTGTTGGCCTCCACAAATTAAAACATAAAACTGCCATAAATGCATTTAATAAATGGAATGAATGAACACAAAATATAATAATTAATACAATAATTTAATAAGGCACATTGACTGCTTTTATAGTACAGTTTTTGTTGTATGAAAAAATGTCAGTGTGAAACATTTCCTGCCTGGTTTCCAGACTGAACTGCCAGACAGAAAATAGATTAAGGTCTTATTTGGTCTTTAACAACATCTGTCTTTAAGACGCTTTTGAAGCTGACACGGCAGTAAACTTGCATGCCATCAGTGATTTTTCCCAGCTTTCCTGGCGTGGATAAAGCAATAGCTCTACTAAAGCAGACAAGACGACAAACAAACCAGACCTTGAGTAAAGTATTTGTGTTGCGAAACAACTAGTGCAGATACAGGAGACAGAACAAGAAAAAAAAACGTCTATTGTAAAATCATTTCAGACCCATGTTTTATATACAAGTGCATGGTCTATTGTTTGGGCCATGTGCTTGTGTTGTCTCGTCTCGTAACCCCGCCCCCTTGTTATCCTTGTTTAGTCATGATTGCCTTGTTAGTGTCACCTGTTCCCCTTGTTAGTTTCTTGTTATTTAATCCCCTTGTGTTTGCTGTCCTGCGTCGGTACATTGTCTATCTGACCCCGGATTTCCACCAAGTGCAGAACGGCCGTGGATCGGCTCCGCTGCGTGTCGGATCCGTGCTTCGCCGTCCTTCAATGCCTACCAGATACGGATTTGTTGCGGAACGGCTGCGGCCATGACTGACAGCTGAAGTCACGAGGACACGCGATATCTCGCGAATTTACGTTTGATATAACAGGCTGTAGTTTCTATAAACAGAACCATAAAAACCAGCAACAGTTTGTTTCCATCCAGAGGAGTACAGGGGAAACAATTATGTGCTGAGATGCTGATCTCCCTTTTTTTGGAGATTCTAGTGATTCTAGTACATTATTTATAATTAGATACAATCAACTTATAAAATGCTAAATGTTTATTTGGGTTCATTTTTGAATGTAGTGGGAAAGTAGTAGGCTGTGTAAATAAAGTTAACTATTGTTCTTGTTGGAAAAGGGAAAACTATATTTTTATTTTGGAAATTACTGGATGTTTTATTTAGTTTCTGTGCTCGACTTCCTACATTTCTACATTACCACATACAAGCTTGGAGTCAATGAGATTTTATATTGAAGAAATGAATGCGTTTATTCCACAAGGATGCATTCATTTAATGGAAAGTGGCTTTAATAATGTTATAAAAGGTTAATGCTGTTCTTTCTGTTCATTCAAAAATGTATGAAGAGTTCAGATGCAAAAGCCTCTAAATGCCATTTGAAATGCCCTTCTTTAATGATGATTTTTATCAAACTTGTATATTTATGTTCAGTAATTTCACTTAAATAACAATTAATAGGTAATTATCATTGCCATTTAAGTGAAATTACTGAACTTAAATATACAAGTTTGATAAAAATCATCATTAAAGAAGAAAATTTCAAATGGCATTTAGAGGCTTTTGCATTTGGCTTTTTTGCATTTTAATGCATCTATTGCATTTAATGCAAAGTGGCTTTAATAATGTTATAAAAGGTTAATGCTGTTCATTCAAAAATGTATTAAGATTTCCACAGAAATATTAAATGGATAGTTCACCCCCAAAATGAAAATTCTGTCAGTAATGTCCTCTGTTCCTCATGTTTTTCAACCCTGTAAGACTTTTGTTCAACTTCACATAACAAATTAAGATATTTTTGATTAAATCTGAGAGCTGGATCACTCCTCTGAAGAGAAAGATAAGTGTGCCATGCACCAAGAAAAAAAGAAAAAAAACATTTTTTTTGGAGAAAAACATTTATTTCATAATGTGATTCCCCCCCCACTTTCAATTCTTTTACTTCAATGAAAGGTTAGAATTTTGCCAATTTTTTGAATGAAAGATCAAAAAGATAAACAATGCAGATTTATTTTTTACAGCCAGTTTTGATCATATTTACTAGGGGTGCCATTAATTTTGACCATGACTGTATATCCTATAGGCAATGCATCTTGGGAGAAAAAGTTCCAATTTTCCTAATGTTGTATGGATAACAGAAAAAAACATAAAACATGGATAACATGAAAAAATTTAGCTAATTAATTGTTCATTAAATGTTTTAAAAGTTGTCATATAAACTTTAATAAAAGAATACATTGCAAAATGTTACCCTAACAGTCGGTCTTCAAATATTTACATTACACCCCCATCATTACATTAGTCTGCTATCAGTGGCTCAAACCTCCGTTACTAACGTTACCTCTAAAATGACGTTTTGTAATTAGCAACGGAGGCATGGGATTAGATGCGGAAGAAATTAGTCCTACATACAAAACTTGACAAACGTCTTGATATGCATCATCTGAACAAGGGTTTTGAGGTGTGGTAACTGTAGTATAAGCGGAATAATTGACTTCAGGCCATTGAATTATTCGAAAAATAATGCCCACCCGAGGTGGTAATGCGGTCAAGTTCAACGGCCTGTCGTCAATTATTCCTTACCTCATATCCATTTCTATTATGTAAAACTTATGTTGATAGTCTGTGTTGTGTCAGGGGTCGGCTGAGAGCACGCGTGCGGTTCCCACCGGTCAGCTTGAGGATCTGGAGTGTGGTCTGATCATCAGCAGTATCGGCTACAAGAGCTTCCCCATCGACCCCGCGGTGCCCTTTGACCCCCGACGAGCCATCGTGCCCAATGCCATGGGAAAAGTGCAGGGCACAACAGGTGAGAGGAGTGTGTTGGTCCTCAGGGTCCTGACACCAGAAGCCACGAGGGAAGATTTCAACAAGAATGTTTTTCTTTTCTGAACTTTTCTACAAAGCCAGAAGGCTTTTTTAAAAAGCAAATGCAGCAAAGGTGAAATTTGTTAGTATTATGTCAGGGACAGGGTCTTTTATATTTCCTTCCCAGCTGGAGGTCTGGACAATACTTTTTTGGACCAGTGATATATTTCCATCAGGGCTTTTTTTTAAAAAAATATCCTAAACACTCAAAATATTCATCAAAGATGAGAATCTTGGGCCCCTTTTTTTAACCTATATTTACCAAAATAAGTACATAAGAATCCACAAAATTGTAAGAATCCACAATTTGTCTGTTGAATAACAGTAAATATTTTTTTTATGGTCATATTTATGTGCCAATTCTGAAAAATATTAATTAATGTTGAAAAAATTGAGTTTAAGGGATATAAACTATAGCTCACAATTCTGACTTTTCTCGCAATTACGAGTTTATATCTCGCAAAGCGCTACAAATAAATTTGACTTGACTGGATGTTAAAGGGATTGTTCACTTTGAAATTAATTTTTGGTATGTTTTAGCTTACCTCAAGGGTATCCAGGGTGTCTTTGTTTCCACAGTATTTTCAATTTTGATATTTTTAGGTCGTCTGTCAGTAATATAATGGAGGTCTATGGTCACCACCTCAAAGAGCATGCACAGAGAAGTCCAAATTAAACATGATTTAATGACTCGTAAATGTAAATACACATTGATGGCCTAAGACACGAAACGAGCGGTTTGCGTGAGAAAACGAACAGTATTTACGTATATCGTTTATTTATATCGTGATCTGAAGGCACGGACGCTTCGGTCTGCGAAATTGAAAAATTATTTCAATTTTTTGAAAAATTAATTATCAAAATATCAAAATTGAAAATACTGTGGAAACAAAGACACCTACATCTTGGATGCCCTTGAGGTAAGCAAAAACATATCAAAAATTAATTTCAAAGTGAACTATCCCTTTAAAATAACTTTCATTTGTCTCATACATGGGTCTGAACATAAATGTTGTAATGTTTGAGAAAACTAGGAGAATCAGGGGTGATGCAAACTATGTGAGGATAGAACAACAGGTCAAAGAGTATGAGAGAGATAGACAAAGACTGTGGGAGGACAGAATAACAGGTCTGGAACTAAAGACTGGAAAAGCCACCATAAAATCCATCCTGTGGGCGAGCACAGGTTTTTGTGTACAGATAGTCATGGAGTGTATAATTGTAATCATGTGTGTTTATTTTGGGCAGGCCTGTATTGCAGTGGCTGGGTGAAGCGGGGTCCCACCGGTGTGATCGCCACCACGATGAACGACAGTTTCGATACGGCACGTGTTATAACTCAGGATATGGAGGCAGGCGAGCTTGATCTGTCAGTCAACAAACCCGGCGCACAAGCGATCACTGCTCTTCTGCAAACACGAGGTCCTGTTCACACAGACACGCTACATACTAAAACCTGAGCTGCAGCATGCTAATTTAAGTCAAACAAACATGTGACTGATTACATAGGTGACGTGTGTCACACAAGTGCCACTCTTCAATAGTTTACCAATACATTCATTGTCACCAATAGTATTTTCCATTAGCATGCTGCTAAACTAGAAAAGATGATATGCATTAAAACATACTTTTATATGACATATGTTTTTTTTTTAAACTATTTATTGTGTAAAATAGTCCGTTTTCATTTATTATAAATTCCTAAGTATCAAATATCAAAAAAAGAACGTATATTTAAGCAGGATCACACATGAGTATTTTAGTGCCATGTTACGATTATTAAAAACAAAATTATGTGATTTTAAGTAAAATCTTGTAACATTATAAGAATAAATCAATGTTTTGAGAATAATTAGGAGATGAAAGGCAAAGTATTGTGTGAAAAAATGCAACAATATTACCACTTACAAGCGAAGACATTAATACAAATATATATACGTATATATATATATATATATATATATATATACATTATTTATTATATAGTTTATTTTTTGATATTTACATTGCTTTTAACCTGGCACTAAATGCTGAGAGAAGGCATTTTTACATTAAAATAAAATTAATGCATTGTTGCAGTGATACGGATAGATTTTTTTATATTATTTTGCGTTTCCTGTATTTGTTAATGCCTTTATACATTCAATTAAAATCAAATGAATGCATTAATACATTGTTTTTACATTGCACTAAATTTCTTTGCAAATGTATTCATAAATTTAAAAATAATCAATGCATTTATAATAATGTCATGTTAATTTTTTGTATTATTTTAACATGGCACTAAAATGCTGTCGTACTGTTTAAGTGTTGTTATTCTAAATATCAGCATGGCCGTGATTCAGATATATATCAATATATATTGAGTCAAAATCTCTAAATCTTGTGATGTATCTTTGTCTCTGTGCTCACCATAATGCAGTCTGCGATTGTTTAATCCTGTCTTAGTTCTAAAACTGTCTAAGTTTGTCTTTTATTGATGCTGATGTCAATGCTTTAGGCACATATTCAGCTGGCATTTGTCAGGCTGGGAAACTTCTGACATGCGACCTACTTTAATTTGGTCTTTCGGCCTTGGTGTGTCGGTGCGGTGAAAATTCCCTTTAGAAGAAAGGCCTATGATGATCACTTTGAAACAGATTTACTATTGGGCAATGGATTTATGATTCCTCAACATGAACCCTCACTTAGTTTGAATCCAAAACCAGAATTTGCACACACATTCATCTGCTATTGCATCTTCTTTTATGGTTCTGGCTGGGTGTGTTGTAGTTTCGGCATGGAACATTTTGTGTTCCAAGATTTTAGATCATCATTAAAATGAGTTCATCATTGGGTCATGTGTGTCAACAGGTGTGAGAACGGTGCTTTTTCCACAGTGGGAGAAGATTAATGCGGAGGAGGAGAAAAGAGGCAAATCCCTGGGAAAACCCAGGGAGAAATTTCTAGATGTAGACGAGATGCTGAAGATCGCCTGGTCCTGAGATCGGAGCCGATGGAGTCTGCAGTGCTGTAATATGACTTTAACGGTATGACTTTATTCTGTGGAACACAAAAGATGACGTTTGGCAGAATGTGTACGCTGCTCTTCTCCATACAATGAAACATGACAAATAGTGATTGAAAATGTGGGGTTCTTACATAAAAGAACACTGAATAACGCACAAATTATATTTATGGTACATTTCTTGTGCATTGTTGTACATGTTTTGAGCTCAACAGCCTCCCTTTCACTAATAAGGGCATATGAGGAATCCGTCCTAACATCTTTTATATTCCACAGAAAAAAGTGGAACGATATGGCGGTGGTATTCATGATGACACTTAATTCATATAATTTATGGGCTTACCCAAGTTTCTTAAGTCTGAAGCAACTTGGGTTGCTTTTTAATGAAATGTTTAGCTGTGATGTCAGGAAATGGACATACAATAATCTACTCCCTTACAGAATAAACTCCCTGAACATATTTTTACATAATAAATCGTATACAAACACAAAGTTGTTATGACTGTTGTTTTCCCTATTAGATTTATAACCAGAGGGGTTTTCCATAAAGGCGGGCGTGTCTGTGCGATTTCACTCACACTGAAGGAGTAGATCGCATGTGATGTAAAGTCAAAGCTTGCGTTTTATGTGTTCACACTATACGGCCCGCATGTCGAGCTGCAACCACTGCTCACTCTACGTGTGTGAAATAGTCTATGTGCGATAAACCCCATGCGATTGGTTGATTAGGTAATTGCATGAATGAGAAATTGAACAGGTGTTCCTAATAATCCTTTAGGTGAGTGTATATATCAAATATGACAAACATTTTAAGTACAATATAATTGAACAGGTCTATATTGTGTCATGTATCATTGTAGCCTTGTTTAAAGATTTGCTGTAGCCTATAGCTTACTGTATATTTAATAAACCATGGATAGTTCGTGGTTAATAAAGTAATAAAATAATGGTATGAAAAAGTGTCAATGGTAATATCAGTGGTCCTGACTTCCTGTCGCTCAATCTTCTCAAAACTCTGGAGTCTGATAGAGGGCCATGAGACTTAGACCTGAGTGCAAAAATGGAGGCTCTAGACCAGCGATTCCCAAACTGTGGTCCGTGGACCCCTAGTGGTCCGTGAGGGTACTGCAGGTGGTCCGTGAAAATGAAAAATAAAATATGAAATATTTTACCAATAAATTCCCATTAAAAAAGTAAAAAGAATATGTAGGCCTATATTTATATAAAATGTAAATTAAATTGTCAAGCTATTGTGTGATTACTAAAATAGGCTAGTGGCGCTCGGCCGTGACGTTCAAGCTCCGTGTCGTCAGAACCACAGCACCGGATCGGTCGATAGCAACAGGTTAGGTGAGCATTTATTTAGTTGTTTGTTTTTAATATAGGTCTATATTAGACAGACGATACAAAGAGGAAGGGAAAGATGTGGAGGGTGACAAAGGAGGATATTACGTTCATTTCGGGCTGGCAAATAGACTCCAATGGCTTTTCCTTTTGACAACATTATTTTCAACCTGGAATAACGTTAGGCCTACTGTGTTTTCTTTTAAATGTGTAACGTTATAGGGCAGAGGCAAATATGTTCTCAAGTCCAAATTTTTGAGGACTTGTAGAACTCTTAACATTAACATTAATAATCCCCTAAAATCGCTAAAGGTTTTGAAATGCTGACTATATCCAAGTGTTCTTATTGCTGTATAGATTCCATACTCCATTGCTATGGGAATAAGCCTGTTGTTCAAATTAACCTGATTATAATATGTAATAAATAATATAATATGTAATATCATAATATGTGTATTATGAGGTGGTCCGTGAAAAATCTTGATTACAAATAGTGGTCCACACACACGAAATGTTTGAAAACCCCTGCTCTAGACCCTTCCTGAGCTGAGATATTGAAATATTTATAATGGCATTAATGCTACGATATCTCAGCTCTGGAAGGGTCCAGAGCGTCCATTTTTGCACTCAGGTTTTTAATGGCCCTCTATCAGAATCCAGAGTTTTGAGAAGATTGGAGAAACTTAATTTTTCGCCCGATAAAAAAAAAAAACGAAAGGGGTACCACTGTTGTTTTTTTCGGGTTGAATATTTGAGTTTTGATATCTCATCTCTGGAAGGGTCTAGATCCTCAATTTTTGCACTCAGGTCAAAGTCTCGTGGCCCTCTATCAGAATCCAGAGTTTTGAGAAGATTGGAGAAACTTAATTTTTCGCCCGAAAACGAAAAAAAACGAAAGGGGTAACACTGTCGGGTTTTTTTGGGTCGAAATTTTGTATTTTGATATCTCAGCTCTGGAAGGGTCTAGGTCCTCAATTTTTGCACTCAGGTCAAAGTCTCACAGCCCTCTATCAGAATCCAGAGTTTTGAGAAGATTGGAGAAACTTAATTTTTCGCCCAAAAAAAAACAAAAAAAAAACGAAAGGGGTAACACTGTCGTTTTTTTTTCAGGTCGAAATTTTGAATGTTGATATCTCAGCTCTGGAAGGGTCTAGATCCTCAATTTTTGCACTCAGGTCAAAGTCTCACAGCCCTCTATCATAATCCAGAGTTTTGAGAAGATTGGAGAAACTTAATTTTTCGCCAAAAAACGAAAGGGGTAACACTGTCGTTTTTTTTTTAACCTCTGGAAGGGTCTAGAACCTCAATTTTTGCACTCAGGTCAAAGTCTTACAGCCCTCTATCATAATCCAGAGTTTTGAGAAGATTGGAGAAACTTAATTTTTCGCCCGAAAACGAAAAAAAACGAAAGGGGTAACACTGTCGTTTTTTTTTCGGGTCGAAATTTTGAATTTTGATATCTCAGCTCTGGAAGGGTCTAGAACCTCCATTTTTGCACTCAGGTCAAAGTCTCACAGCCCTCTATCATAATCCAGAGTTTTGAGAAGATTGGAGAAACTTAATTTTTCGCCCAAAAACAAAACAAAAAAAAAACGAAAGGGGTAACACTGTCGTTTTTTTTTTAGGTCGAAATTTTGAATGTTGATATCTCAGCTCTGGAAGGGTCTAGATCCTCAATTTTTGCACTCAGGTCAAAGTCTCACAGCCCTCTATCAGAATCCAGAGTTTTGAGAAGATTGGAGGAACTTAATTTTTCGCCCAAAAACGAAAGGGGTAACACTGTCGTTTTTTTTCGAGTCGAAATTTTTGAATTTCGATATCTCAGCTCTGGAAGGGTCTAGAACCTCCATTTTTGCACTCAGGTCAAAGTCTCACAGCCCTCTATCATAATCCAGAGTTTTGAGAAGATTGGATAAACTTAATTTTTCACCCAAAAACGAAAAAAAACGAAAGGGGTAACACTGTCGTTTTTTTTCGAGTCGAAATTTTTTAATTTCGATATCTCAGCTCTGGAAGGGTCTAGAACCTCCATTTTTGCACTCAGGTCAAAGTCTCACAGCCCTCTATCATAATCCAGAGTTTTGAGAAGATTGGAGAAACTTAATTTTTCGCCCGAAAATGAAAAAAAAAAAAACGAAAGGGGTAACACTGTCGGTTTTTTTTTCGGGTCGAAATTTTGAATGTTGATATCTCAGCTCTAGAAGGGTCTAGATCCTCAATTTTTGCACTCAGGTCAAAGTCTCACAGCCCTCTATCATAATCCAGAGTTTTGAGAAGATTGGAGAAACTTAATTTTTCGCCCAAAAACGAAAAAAAACGAAAGGGGTAACACTGTCGTTTTTTTTTCGGGTCGAAATTTTTAATTTTGATATCTCAGCTCTGGAAGGGTCTAGAGCCTCCATTTTTGCACTCAGGTCAAAGTCTCGTGGCCCTCTATCAGAATCCAGAGTTTTGAGAAGATTGGAGGAACTTAATTTTTCGCCCAAAAACGAAAAAAAAACGAAAGGGGTAACACTGTCGTTTTTTTTTTCCGGTCGAAATTTTGAATTTTGATTACTCAGCTCTCGAAGGGTCTAGAACCTCCATTTTTGCACTCAGGCCAAAGTCTCACAGCCCTCTATCATAATCCAGAGTTTTGAGAAGATTGGAGAAACTTAATTTTTCGCCCGAAAATGAAAAAAAACGAAAGGGGTAACACTGTCGTTTTTTTTCGGGTCGAAGTTTTGAATTTTGATATCTCAGCTCTGGAAGGGTCTAGAGCCTCCATTTTTGCACTCAGGTCAAAGTCTCACAGCCCTCTATCATAATCCAGAGTTTTGAGAAGATTGGAGAAACTTAATTTTTCGCCCAAAAACGAAAAAAAACGAAAGGGGTAACACTGTCGTTTTTTTTTCGGGTCGAAATTTTGAATGTTGATATCTCAGCTCTGGAAGGGTCTAGAACCTCCATTTTTGCACTCAGGTCAAAGTCTCACAGCCCTCTATCATAATCCAGAGTTTTGAGAAGATTGGAGAAACTTAATTTTTCGCCCGAAAACGAAAAAAACGAAAGGGGTAACACTGTCGTTTTTTTTTCGGGTCGAAATTTTGAATTTTGATATCTCAGCTCTGGAAGGGTCTAGAGCCTCCATTTTTGCACTCAGGTCAAAGTCTCACAGCCCTCTATCAGAATCCAGAGTTTTGAGAAGATTGAAGAAACTTAATTTTTCGCCCAAAAACTAAAAAAAACGAAAGGGGTAACACTGTCGTTTTTTTTTCGGGTCGAAATTTTGAATTTTGATATCTCAGCTCTGGAAGGGTCTAGAGCCTCCATTTTTGCACTCAGGTCAAAGTCTCACAGCCCTCTATCATAATCCAGAGTTTTGAGAAGATTGGAGAAACTTAATTTTTCGCCCGAAAATGAAAAAAAACGAAAGGGTAACACTGTCGTTTTTTTTTCGGGTCGAAATTTTGAATTTTGATATCTCAGCTCTGGAAGGGTCTAGAGCCTCCATTTTTGCACTCAGGTCAAAGTCTCACAGCCCTCTATCATAATCCAGAGTTTTGAGAAGATTGGAGAAACTTAATTTTTCGCCCGAAAATGAAAAAAAACGAAAGGGGTAACACTGTCGTTTTTTTTTCGGGTCGAAATTTTGAATTTTGATATCTCAGCTCTGGAAGGGTCTAGAGCCTCCATTTTTGCACTCAGGTCAAAGTCTCGTGGCCCTCTATCAGAATCCAGAGTTTTGAGAAGATTGGAGAAACTTAATTTTTCGCCCAAAAATGAAAAAAAACGAAAGGGGTAACACTGTGGTTTTTTTTTTAGTCGAAATTTTTGAATTTCGATATCTCAGCTCTGGAAGGGTCTAGAGCCTCCATTTTTGCACTCAGGTCAAAGTCTCACAGCCCTCTATCATAATCCAGAGTTTTGAGAAGATTGGAGAAACTTAATTTTTCGCCCGAAAATGAAAAAAACGAAAGGGGTAACACTGTCGTTTTTTTTTCGGGTCGAAATTTTGAATTTTGATATCTCAGCTCTGGAAGGGTCTAGAGCCTCCATTTTTGCACTCAGGTCAAAGTCTCACAGCCCTCTATCATAATCCAGAGTTTTGAGAAGATTGGAGAAACTTAATTTTTCGCCCAAAAACGAAAA